ACGAAGAGGAAAGAGCTTAATACGTGGATAGAGTTTGCCATTCAAGTTGATGCTTGCCCCCAAGTCACATAATGCTCGACCTAACTCCTTTCCTCGAATAGATATACAGAAATAGTCACATAATGCTCGACCTAACGACCTAACTCAGTTGCTAATTGACCTACTTGGACTCCCAAATTTCGCAAGGATGCTTGCTGACTTTGTATCACAACATAATTTTTTTCTTTTCATATATTCCTTTATTAGTCTCTCAAAAGATGTTCCATGTATGTGTTGAACTTGGCTAGTTCCTTTTCCTTGGGCATTGGCTTGCGACCATATGTCATTTGATTTTGTAGTTCAAAGCCTGGATGGTAATTTGCCTTAGGTGACATTTGTTGATTGTATGAGTTTTGTCACCTCCATGAAAAGTTTGGATGGTTTCTCCACCCCAGACTATAAGTGTTTGAGAATGGATTATTTTTTCTCGTTGCTAGCTTGATTCCCCACATAAAAAATTGAAGTCAAATTACTTGGTCATTGATCAAAAGTGTGTTATTCTCCACAATATACACAAGATTGAGTTGTTCTTTGAGAAATTACAGCAGCAATTTCGACTAGTGCATTAGTTATTGAACCTTGTCCCAATGTTAGATTTTGTAAAATATAGGTCACCGGAACTAATTGTACATCAATAGAGGTCAAGGCATCAACTTCAAGTACTCATCTAGTCTTCTTCTCTGTTGTGCCTTTTCCGTTTTCTCTTTTGGTGGCCTCCTCTTCTTCTTAGGTAAACTTTCCTAATTGGATAGTTAATGACCCACGTGGCTTGATGAAAAAGTTTGCTTTTAGAATTGCTTCAACATCAGGGTCAGCAATTTGTACATGGTCATCGCCACTAGGTTTGTTTCTAGATTTGTTACAACATCATGGTTCAACATAAATTTTCTGAAATTTTACCAAATAACTCAATTATGTGTACAATTAGACTCGATTTATGCAAATTGATATTTTTTTTTCATGTTGAACGAACAATTTCTTGCTTACGGATTAGAATAAATTGAACAATTAATGAGAAAATGGTGAGTATGAGTACAAAATTAACTTTAAAAAGGCTTGGTATAACTCTACTTTTGAAGAGATATCACCCCTCCTCAAGTTAGAACAATAACCTACTTGCCTCAAGAACCATAAACTACCTTCCATATTTCCTTTCAAACTAAGACAATTAACTACCTGCTCACACCCCCTCTCAAGTATAACAGTATAAGGTCATGACTCTCCACTAGATACAACTTTCGTAGTATACGCTCTATGATTCTTGGGATCTCCTATGGGTGACAAATGAACTCTGTGTATCCAATGGACCCTAACCTCTCTTAGCTAGTTCACAAATAGGGAAAGCACCCTTATCGTCCTTACAAAATACCTAGTCAACCCAATGTTCTATAGAATCAAAAACTGGGTTCTAGTATCATAATAACGAAGCATTAGCTTATGGTCTATACGATCATTACAGATATTATAGAGCACATTGCATCATCCAATAATAATACTTGGCATAAACGGGACCCCAAACCCTAAATCATGCATTTATAAATGTGAATATACATACATTATGCTCAACATACTCAAACAAGGGATAACGTATCAACCGCCATGCTGAAAAGCTTATAAACATATCAATTCTCTCAGAGTTCTCAAATTATGCAGTGTGGAAGCTGTAAGATAAAATAATGTACCAAACCGTAAACTATTAGATTTTCAAGACTTAATTATTATGATACTAGGTCAAATAGCCTCCTAAACATGATTTGTAATAAATTTTCCAAGGCCCCCTAATCAACCCCTACAATTTTTTTTTTTGAAACATACTCCATAGGGATAATTACATGTTCGAGTGTATTTGGGATCACTATTCATGGCCTTTTCGAAATTAAAACTTTTTCAAATTCCTTGAATACGTGCCAGATTGAGTCTAATTTTTTTAACATCAAACATTATTAAGAGAGCCAGTCTAAAAATAGGTGAACCGACCCAAATAGAAAGCAAAGGTCGTTCCATGTAGCCATTTACGTGTTCGATCACGTTAGAGTTCACTTTTCACAACCTCTTCGGAGCTAGTTTTTCCTCAAATTTCTTGAGAATGTCCCAAGTTGAATCTATTTTCTATAATATTAAAAATTGTTGTAAGAAAAATATATAAAGGGATGAACGGATCCAAACAATGTACAAATATAAGAAAAGGCATGATGTGGCAGATTCCTACATTGCCACGTCACTCATCTTCTACATTTTGTCTATACGATACACGCGACAAAGACAACTTCCCTCCTCTGTAACTCATTCGTTCTCTAGTGTGTCTATGACCATCTCTACTCATTTCTTCATGAAATTTAAAGACCTACTCATTTTAATTCATTTAGTTCAAAAACCACAAAAATATGTTGAATCAATGTAGGTTACTCGGTACTGGCTTACCCAGAAAATCAAGTCAAGTTGCTCTCAATTTGAGTGATTGAGAACTTAGCTCCTCTCAGCTTCTTCAACAACTTTGTTTCTTAATTTGCCCTAAAGCTAATGATATGAGACCCATATCATGACTCGACCTATATAGAACGAATTTTGTGGATAAAGTTCTAAAATTTTAAAATTTGTTATTCACTGAAAGTTAATATTTTGGTTCTTCCGTTCTAGCGACTTTTAGCTTTTGGTTTCTTTATAAAATATGTTTCTTTTCTTGCCACAAAGCAATTCAAATAAGCTTTAACCGATGAGATTCATCGTGGAGATGGAATTTCTCAATTTTCAGAAACTTAAGCCAGCCTTCCTCTTGTTATTTTTCTTCAAACGCTTCATAAAAATATTTCTATTTGAGCTCAAGAAACTTTTGGAATAAGATTAAACGTGCTAAATTCTTACAAAATCAAAACCGCTCCAATTCTAAATTTCTTATTAATGGGTCTCAAATGGCGTTTTGTAGATCTCCTTCTTATGAACCTAAAGAGACCAAAATCTCGAAGAGGTCTAAAGAGGAAGAATTTTTGAAAAAAAAAAGTGAGTAAGCATACCCATAATCTAACTTAGGATAAAATCTCTTTACTTTTGACTTTTTAAAAATCGGTCAAAGTAGTGACGTAGGGTTGTGCTCTTTCAAGCAAGAATAATTTGAGCTTCTCATTCATATATTAAGGTTTAAAAATCTAAAGGTTATTGGAAGTGTTGTTTGAGGATGCGAGGTTAAACAGGTAAATTCAAACATTTTCCTTACCATTTATCTTTTCTCAAATTTGAATTCAACCAATGAGAGTCTTCCCACTTGTCAAACATCTCAGGTTGATAATTTTTGTAATTATCCCAAACTTTTTTCTTCAATTATTAATTATTAATTTGGTAATTATCTCAAAAAAAATCATCATTGTATACCAAAAATATCAATTTGTCATCTTATGAGCTAGCTTCCAAATAAGTATTGAGTGGGCTTAATTTCCAATTTGGTTAACTATGGGGCTGTTTTCTCAAATTTTCACCTTTTAATGTCATTTTTACAATTGGCCATTTTTTAGGGTTATCTTTATAAATTTGGTTTATTACAAGGGTATTATTTGCAAATTGGATTTCATGTGGGTTAGCGGACTCATATACGTACCTTTGGGTCTGAATACAGGCTAGCACACAATCATGCGGCTGAAACCAATAGGAAAAAAAAAAAAAATAGTGTGTATAGTATCTTTCTCTACACATCCATACAACACATACTAGAGAAGAATCCTGTGCTCGTGACATACAACATACAACATACTTTGAGGGTTTCACGTGCCACCCTCAATTACAGATTTACGACAGTGCAACCTTATTTAGGAGGCCTGACGCCGTGTTCACATTCACTAGGGGCACTCATCATGAGTCTACTACCTGTGTAGTCCCAACTCCGTTTTCATGATCAGTTTATAGAATTGCGGTCTTAATCTTTATCTGATTCCTACACTTAATTGAAGCACTCACCCTAAGCTATCTACCTGTGTAACCCCAAATCTTTTCCAAGGCTAGTTTACGAAATTGTAACTTCATCCTTACCCGTCTGTACACTCAATAAAAGTTCTCATCTCGAGCTAACTACCCATGTAATCCTAAATCCTTCTTCAAGATCAGTTTACTTGATTGAAACGTCGGCCTTGACTCGACCCTACACTCAATAATAGCTCAAGTGACTATGGGGTTCTGATGATATTGTTCATACTATTGTTAACCTTGTTAAGCTTTCTTAATCATTATTAGATGTCATGGAGATTTATTAGGTCCTTAGGGGCATCTAGGTGATTTAGTCCTCATCTCGCGTTTTTTAAGATGCTTGGGGTTAGTTCCTTGGGACTAATCCAATCTCTGGGTGCACTCAAGTCTAGACATATGATCGCTACTCATAATCCAAGGGTACTCGATCTATTAGAAATGTACTTGCCAAGATCTACATGTAAACTGCTCTAGCTTTAGGGACCTAATCTTAGCCCGGTTCCCTCATGCATACTTTGTTAGGGAGATATTTCTATCAATCAACTCAAGCATGAAAAACATAATCTACTCCTTCATGCATGCTTATTAGGGAGATGTTCCTATCAACTAGCAAGGAAATCATAACCTAAACATTCAATCAAACTCAACGTGGAAATAACACCCATTAGTCACCCAAACCACATATCATAATATCTTATCCTCCATTTTAGCACAACAGAAAACATAAAAATTGGTCTGCTTCATAAACTCTCATGATAGGGTATATGATAGGGTATTTTGTTAATTTTCCTTTAACATATTTAGCATTTTCATCCAAGATATGATGGCATGCTATTATGTCCTTACACAAGCATTATATGAGAAAAGTCAGAATGACTATTTATATGGATGACACATGTCTTGCTGAGTAAGTTTTTTCTTGTGTTAGAAACTTCAAATTTTCGAAAATTTCTTTAGTATAACCTAATTCAAATCATAATAAGGTCAACATCAAAATCGGGTCAAAACAATCAAATAGAGGTTAAAACGGGTAATAATTGGAACGATACAAACAAGATTAGCATGGCCCCTGTGGAAGAATGACACACACCAATCAATAAATGGTTCAACTTTTTTATAAATCAGAGTGGCGCAGCGGAAGCGTGGTGGGCCCATAACCCACAGGTCCCAAGACCAAAACCTGGCTCTGATATAATGCCTCAACCCTAAGGCTAAGGCATAATAATGAATTACCTGTTGAATTTCTCTAATTGGGCATACTCTTAAGTTATTACCCTTTCAAGACCGATTAAGATAGGTCTCACATCAGAATTAGTGTATAAAATTTGGGAGGGAAATAGTGGACTATAGCTCTTGAATTTGGAAGGAACATAAGATTTTAAAACCCAACAAAATGAAGGTTTATAACTCATTATTGAAGGATCTATTAACTCAAATTGAGAAATGATCCACCGACTTTGAAACATCTAGAACCGCCATGATTTCGTAGTTGATCCTTTTGAATTTTTCGCTAGAAATTCGTGTGTCGATCAAAGTTTTGTCGAATTTAGTTTTGAATTTTAGCCATTGGATTTGATGATTTGTGAACGTTCTAGATCATATCCAATTCAGAGGGAGATCCAACAACTAGATTATAAGAGATTGTGGATTATGTGCATACGGGTACTATGGAGGATCTAATTTCATCTACCATGACAATTTCGTGATTCTTTTAAACTTTATAAATAGGTAATTTACCACTTTCTAAAAATTTTAATATTTTTTTTTTTTTTGGAGCAATCCAATTTTTTTTATAAAATTTGTTACCTCTTGTTAGTCATTTTCTAGTTATTGAGTATCTTGAAGTTCTTATCCATAAAGAATTAAAATTTGGTGAAATTTTGTATCGACTCTTTTTTACACGTTAAGTCCTTTCTCGATGGAAGTGTATCATGTGCTATCATGTGAATGGAGTGACGTATACTTTCGTAACATGGACATATGAAATACAATGCATACGGTAGATAAGTTTAATGGGAGTGCGAGTCTATAGGCCACTAGTCCTATTCTTTCTAGTATCTCAAAAGGATGGATGAACTTGGGGCTTAGCTTCCCTTTCTTATCAAAATCTGAACATCCCTCTCATGGATGATATCTTTAGTAACACATGGTAGGTAGGAAATTTAAGTTTTTACACCTTACATCTACACAAATATTTTACGAACTAAAATTTTATTTTTATTAGGAACAAAAAGATTTAAAAAAAAATTCAAACTTAAATCAAACGAACCGAAAACTATATGGTTGGGTTGGGTTGAGTTCAGTTTTTGTGATGTCCCACATTGGTTGGGGAGGAGAACAAAACACGTGGAAACCTTCCCCTAACAAACGCATTTTAAAACCTTGAGAGGAAGCTTGTAAGGGAAAGCTCAAAGAGGACAGTATCTGCTAGTGATGGGCCTGGATCGTTACTAAATGGTATTAGAGCCAGACACCGAGCGATGTGCCAGCGATGAGGTTGTTCCCCAAAGAGGGATAGACACGAGGCGTTGTGCCAGTAAAGACGTTGGGCCCCAAAAGGGAGTAGATTGTGATGTCCAACATTGGTTGGGGAGGAGAATAAAGTACCGTTTGTAAGGGCGTGGAAACCTTCCCCTAACAGACATGTTTTAAAGCTGAGGTGAATTATGAAAAAACCGTCTCACCCTTTCCACACTTTCCATTTATGAAATCCTATTACACCAAACCCACTCGAAAGAATCCTTAAATGAGGTAGTTTTGTTAATTGATTACAAAGTCAAAGTAAATGGCTAAAAATAAATCTCTCTATTTTTATTTATTTATATATAATAAATGCATTGCTTTGGAAGAATGGGCTCTCATTATTTTCAAGCTATTTCGTAAAATTAGATTTCATTTGCTGGTGAGTTTGGATGCATAGTGGCCCTGTTTTATAAGACCTCTTGAACCGTGTTTGAATCCGCATGCTTGACTCGACCTGATGTTGTGACCCACGCTCCTCCTCAATGACTATTTAGCTCGGCTCTTCGACTTCAAATGGCTTAAATGGCTCGGGTTGCTCTATTTGTTCCAATTTTTCTAGACCTTCCCTACTTTATTTTTAATTTTTTTTAATTTTATTATTATTATTATTATTATTATTTTTTATATATCATCTTGAAGCTGATTTTAGTATTTTTAAAAGAAATTGAGATAAGTATGGCCAACAATTCTAAGATAAATTATAGGTTTAATTGTGGGTATTAGGTAAATTAAAACGCTCAACGTGTTATAATCCAGTGTCGAGAATTCTCATAAGTTGACTTGGATTTCAAAGGATAGATTTGGACTAGCTCCATAGTTAAATTAGCAAGTTCGGCTTAAGCTACTTAATTAAGTGGCTCAACTTTTGGTTTGGTTGAGCGAATTGTATGATGTACCATTACACATGTCTTGTCTCCCTATGTTGTGTTATGCCATATTTATAAGTTGTGCTATAATGTGATTATTCCTTGTTATAGAATAATATGATGTTGATAATCTTTGATGCATAAACCTCCATACACCATGTTGGATAAGCTATGTTAAGTATGAAAGATCTAATAAGAATTATGATGCATGATTCATAGGCTCGTTATGTTATTAACTTACATCACTACTTTCGCCATTTTTAAAATTAGGCAAAGAATCTAGAGTAATTCAAGGAAACTTTTTGGGTAAGCCTTCTCGGTTTTCTTCAAAAATCTTCCTTTATAGAAAATTTCAAAGGCTACTTTTGGTCTCTTTAGACTACGAGGATAGAGTTTTTCCATTCAAGCCCTCGGAAAAAACATTGAATTTGGTTGTTTTTTCCTCGTGTATAATCTATCCCAAAAGTTTCTTTGATCCCAAATAGGAAGTTTTTCATGAAAAAACTTAAAAGAATATAAAAGAAGAAAGACCCTCAATTTCTTTAGAAAAGTTTGGGCCTAAGTTTCTAAAAATCAAGAGATTACTCCTCCACGATGAATGTCATCAATTTAAAACCAAATAGTTGACTTCGTGGCAATGAGAGGAGCAATTTAAATCACGAAATTCGGGCCAAAAGTCCTTAGAATCCAAGAACTAAAAGGTTGACTTTCGATGAATTTGTAAGTCTTGAAAACCAGAACTTAAACCATGAAATTCGTTCTCTATAACTCGAGTCATAGCATTGATCTCATACCATTAGCTTTAGGGAAAATTAAGGAACAAACTTCGCGAAGAAGTTGTGAAAAAATAGGAATATGGTCCTAATTCGAGAACAAATTGAAGTTGAAAATTTAGGTAAGCTCATTCTCAAGTAACTCACTTTAACCAAGTTCATTCTCAAGTAACCCACTTTAACCTCTTATATCTTCCTCTTATATCTTGCTCGTTAATAAGTCAAATGAATTGAGCTCAGTCCTAACAATCCATGGTGTGTAGAACTACACAACTCATGAAGAAATCAAGTGGAATCACTCATTGATCAAGAGAAAAAACATGATTTTTAGAAAGTAGAAAGTTAAAGGTTCTCACGTGCTTCTACCTCTAGAAGTAAACGATGACGCGGTAGCTCTAGAGCTTTCCATGTGATCCCCTTTAGGCTTTTTACCTATGGAGTAATAAATAGATTAGCTTACTTATTTTTAGACAGTTCTCACAATAAGCTTTAATGTTCTAGAGAATAAACTCAATCTCAGACCTCAAGAAAATTGAGGAGGAAACAACTTTCAGAATGTAGCTAAAAGCGATCACGAATACGACCGAACAGGTAAACCCCTATATAGACCAACCTTTGCTCACATATTTGAATCCGTTCAAATACTTTTAGACCAGTTCTCAAAAAAATGTTTATTGTTCTAGATAATAGACACTATTTGTCACTTACTCAAGAAGTTTGTAGGTATTTCAACCTTGGGAAGGTCGTAAATCGAGCACTCAAACACAACAAAATGAGTAAATAACTATTTCGAGCAAGTTTCAAGAAATACTTGTAGGAGTCAATTAGAACCTTTGGCAAATGATTAACATTCATATAAGCTTGATTGACCGCATTATGAAAGATAAGCCCCCAAAACCTAAAACTTTACCGTTTAGCACAATATTCAGTTTGACAGTATTCACATGCTTGAATTGTGAATACAAGTAGTTTTATTATCTCACAAGTACTGGAGCATACTTTATTGATTTATTTTTCTTTATTTAAGTATGTGGAGCATGATTTACGCCTATGTATAATTTTACATTCATGTTTGAGGGTTTGGAAACCCGTATGTGCCAAATTAGTATTTGGGCGATCGTTATGTGGCCTAGAGTGCCTGTTATGACCATTTTAGATTATGAGCTATTGTCTTACGATCTTAGCTATTGAGTCACATGGAATTTTTAGGTTGATTAGGTACCTTATAGGAACGTTTGAGCATAATCCCTATTCGTAAATTAACCAACATGAGTTAGGATTTACTTGGTACAAAGGAATTAGTAATCACCCATAAGGGGCTCCAAGAGTCATAGAATGTACCCTACTAAGGTAGCTCTGGGTGTGTCTAGTGGGGAGCCATGACCTTATACTTTTCTAGCCTAAGGAACCTGTATGAGTAGGTAGTCTACTGTTCTAGCCAATATTCTAGCCAATAGAAGCAACGAACAAGTAGTTACTATTCTAACCTGAGGAGGGTGTAAGAATTGGTAATTTATTTATTTAGCCTGAAAAGGCAAAGTCGTAAGCAGTTGTTGCTTGGTGTCACAATCAATGATATGATTGTGACATCGAGAAAGTTATCGAGGATGACGACTAAGTTAAGTGGGGAAGAGTGTCACAACCACACTAATAGAAAATAAGTTGTGACCCCCACACGCATGACAGTCAAGGGGCTACCGTCAAGTGGAGCCCATCCGACAATGGGAGGGTAAAGATTGAGAAGTGTCATGATACAACCGAGGAGGATAGTCCGTCATCCAAAACACCAAGAGTATGCACTCAAGTTAAGCTGAGGCATACGCAAGATTCAAGAGATTGAAGTGACAAGAGTGTCAAAGACAAGCTCGAAGAGGGTCGGGTTTGTCCGACCAGAAAGTGGTCCAGGAGGTGTGCGGACAAACTTGTAGGTCCATACGCGCACGTGTGGACCAT